TATCATGATTAATTTGAGTTTTTTAAACATTGTTTTCCACCTAGAAAAGCCAAAGAGATTGACCAGCACTTCACTCACACCACCAAAACCATCCCAAACCTCATCACAACGGCTGGGGTCCAACAGAAAACAGGTGATTTTATCATGATTAATTTGTTTTTTTAAACATAATTTTCCACCAAGAAAAACTAAAGGGATTGACCAGCACTTCACTCACAGCATCAAAACCATCCCAAACCTCATCATGACGGCTGGGGTCCATGATATATAAATAAATAAACAGAAAACAGGTGATTTTATCATGATGAATTTGTTTTTCAAACGTTATTTTCCACCTAGAAAAGCCAAAGAGATTGACCAGCACTTCACTCACACCACCAAAACCATCCCAAACCTCATCACAACGGCTGGGGTCCAACAGAAAACAGGTGATTTTATCATGATTAATTTGTTTTTTTAAACATAATTTTCCACCAAGAAAAACTAAAGGGATTGACCAGCACTTCACTCACAGCATCAAAACCATCCCAAACCTCATCATGACGGCTGGGGTCCACGATATATAAATAAATAAACAGAAAACAGGTGATTTTATCATGATGAATTTGTTTTTTAAACGTTATTTTCCACCTAGAAAAGCCAAAGGGATTGACCAGCACTTCACTCACAGCATCAATCTCGTTGAGAATCTTCCACTGCTCGTACAGGACCCCCAGGGACTCGGCCGTCTGGATCGTCCTCTTCAGCTGGCTCGTCCACACCTTCAGGTCCACAATCTCCTGCTCCTCAATGAACTTCTTCAGCGCTTGGGAAAACTGGGAGAAGCAGAAGGCTCAGGGGAGGTTAGGAGGGAGAGCAGGGTAGTTAAAAGCATCATTTCAAGGGCCCGTGGCGGTCGCGGCAAGATCCGGCTGCCCCGCGCAGGGGGGGACGCAGGGCCCGGCCCTGACCCTGCTCACACAACACAGACACAGCAACCAGGTGCTGCCAGGCACATACCTGCTTCCCACGAGGTGACAGACCAGAATCCCCACCAATCTTGCCGACAAGGTTATATTCACTCTCACCATGTCGGCAAAGGTAGATGGTGCGTGGCTGGACATGAATGTTCATTAGGTAATAGACGATTTTACTCTGGATGTAATCCTGGACTCTGTTTACTAGGAACCGCTGGCCCACATTGATCACTTTAATGAAGGAAAGATCTCTGGAGTCAACATAAAATAAGAACACCCACACGACTGGTTTTACAAACGAAGCACGTGCCACCTGCGGGTGTAACCCAGCTATTTATGCTCTAGGAAAGGCACCAGCACTGCCCCTGGTCACTCCAGCAGACAGGAGAGACACTGAACTGCTGGGCTTCAAAATGCTTCCCTGTGAGGGTGGTGGGGCCCTGGCACAGGTTGCCCAGAGAAGCTGTGGCTGCCCCATCCCTGGAAGTGTTTAAGGCCAGGTTGGACGGGGCTCGGAGCAACCTGGGATAGGGGAAGGTGATCTTTAAGGTGCCTTGCAACCCAAACCTTTCTGTGATTCTGCGATCCCACTAGAGAAAAAAATCCTTTCAAATCACTCAGGACCCGTGATATCACCTTCACAGAGTCACACTTTGGGAGAGCAGAGGCTCCAGCAGACACACTGGAGTGTCCTGAGCCACAGACAGCAAGGCAGCTCGTGTGCCCGAGCACAAAGTGCAGCCCAGGGATTTCCTTACTTGTCATCAGCATCGGGATCCAGAGGCTGGTAGGTGACCTTGTAGCACTCTATCCTCTTCAGGAAATCGTCCATCACGTTCTCTCGGTGTCTCTCTGGGTAGTCGGGGCTGGAAACTTTCACCTCCTGGTCAACACACAGAGTGGCTTTGTGAGAGCAAAGCAAACTCAAGGGGGAACAAAAGCAACGCTGAATAAGGTTATTCTTCTCTTTTGCAACAAATCCACATTGTTTGACGCTGCCCTGAGGAAAAACCTGCTCCTGGAGAGGAAACAAAGGGTGACTCTGAAGGCACTGAAGTGCTTGGCCCTGGCAGACACACTGTGAGCTTTGCCCTCCCTCACCAACACATAACACTTCAAGGTCAAACATTCCTCAGCTTCATTTGATTTCCACATTCTCACATGATGGCTCCTTTAGCTTTTTATAAACCTGCAAACCCCAGCTGCCTGTTCCCAAGGTGAAATGGAAGAGCGAGGCATTTGCAGACAATCCCCCTAAGCCACCAGAGCCCATGACCTTGCACTGAGTTCCCACAGCAGCTGAGCCTGGAAAAGGCAGCACGCACCAGGATATTGGCAGCAATGACCTCCGGATCATCACAGACAGACTCCACAAAAAACACCTAGGGAGAAGGCAGGGAAGCACATTTCAGAGAGGCAAGAACTCCACTCCACTCGAGAGCTGCTGCCCCGGGGAGCCACAGTGTCCCTGGGTGCAGCAACCACAAATCAAACACAGGAGCACCACCTTGAAAGCATTTTCCTTAGCAAAATTTAAGATCAGGTCCCGTCGCTCTCGAGTTGTGTTGGTGGCATCAAACACCTATCAGAAAACGAGTAGCAATAAGCAAATTTAACTGAGACTTTTAAACCAGCCCCAAGTCAGGTCCCCAAACACCCTGGGCAGCTTTGAACTACCCCAATGGAAAACTCTGGTGCAGAGGAATCTTACAGCTATTTGCCCGCACTCCTCCAGCAGATAAGCCTTCACATCTTCCAGAGCCACCAAGGCACATTGTCTGTGGGATAGAAACAGGGATTGTCAGAGCTCATGGAAAGCATTCCCACAGCAAAGCCTCTGAACCACCAGGGAGGGATTTGAACGCCTCTCTCCCACCCCTGCATCTTCCCAAGAGGCCCAGAGATCACAAGGCACCTGCATCTACAACCTGCTCCATCACCTGACACTCGCAGCCCAAAGTGAACAACAACCCTCCCACGCACATCCCCTCTGGCAGGATCCCTGTGCCGTTCCCTCCTGCTTCCACAGGCACCAGATGTTATTCTGTGCTCCTCAAACACAGAGCCTGCCAAGACCTGAGAGTCCCCAGCCCAGCCCAGCCCCCAAAACCAACTCACTTGCGGATTTCCATGGCTTCCTTGTTGTCGTGCCTGAAGAAGTCATAGGACTTGTAGGACTTCACCGCCTCGCGCCGGTACACCCCTAAATTAAACACTTTACACACAACAGAAGAGGAGGAGGGCGTGAGGCTGATGGAATTTCACTGACAGATCTCCCAGCAAGGGGCAAAAAAACATGCTCACACACACACTCACACAGACACACACCTTTGGTGGGCACCCCGATCCAGTTGAGGTAGCGGGTGAGCTTCTTGGACATGTAGGTCTTGCCACGGGCGGGGAGCCCGATCATCACGATCAGGGTCGGGGAGTTGGTCATGTAGGAAGCCCATGCTGCAATAAAAAAAAAAAAACCCACCCCAAAACAGCAGCATCAGCGGCACCGCAGAGCAAAGAGCGACACCCGACCCAAAGCCGCCCCATCTCTGGATGGACAAACCACCTCCGTGCATCTCCTAACGGGCTCTCGCGCATCCCATAATGAGCTCGTGCTGTGTCCTCGCGGCTAATTAAGCGCTGTGACCACTCTGTGGTCTCCCAGGTGTTCGCTAATGAGGCGGACCAGGAACAGCGGTGCCTAATGGGGCTAAAACGCGGCTTTTAGCGCTAAAAGTATTTACCGACCGGGGCAGGAGCCGCCAAGGGCGAAAGAAAGATGTTTTTAAAAAGATGTTTTTAACAAACCGGTCACGTTCTCTCAGCAAACAGCCAGGGCAGGCTCCGAAAATGCCCGGGGGGAGGCAAGTTGGGGGGAAAAGCAGGGGATGGGGATGGATAGAGTATCCAGGAGGCTGAAGAGCAGGAGGATGGGGGCGAGCGGGGCAAGGTGACCCCGAGGAGGAGGGAGACAGGGCGGGCAGGGTCCGGGCAGCCCCGGTGCGGGTCCCGCGCGGGAGGAACACGCGTTTTCGGGAAGGCGCGCGGCTCCCTCCGCGGTACGCGCAGCGTTCCGCACACACACAGAACCCCCACCCGATATTTAATTGCCTTAAGGACACGAGGCCGCATCCCTCCATCCCTCCATCCCTCCCCGCCGCGGGCCGGGGGTTACTCACAGCACTGCTTCTCGCCGGTCCGGCCCCGCGGGGCCCCGCCGCAGCCCCGGGGCGCCGCCGACATGGCTCCGGCACGGCCGCGGCTCCGCGCCGCATGCAAACGAGATGCAAATCCGCTATGCAAATGAGCGCCGGGAGCGCGGGAAAAAGGGGGCGGCCGGGAGCGGGTCCGCGCCGCGCGTGCGCCGTATGCAAATGAGGTGGGCGGGGGGGCCCCGGTGCTATACAAGTTATGTCATTGTTATGCAAATGAGATGGGCGGTGCCACCGCGTGCAGTGCAACTACACACAGTGCCCGCCTCTATGCAAATGAGATGGGCGGTGACGCCTCGAGCTGTGCAAATGAATACACACGGCTGCCCCTCTCTATGCAAATGAGATGGGCGGTGCTAACCGGCACTATGCAAATGAGACGCACGCCGTGATCGTCTCGAGGCTAATGAGATGGGCGGTGTCGCCCCGCACTATGCAAATGAATCCACATAGCACCCGCCTCTATGCAAATGAGACGGGCTGTGCCGTCGCGCTATCTAAATAAGACAGGCGTGGTCGTGTTATGCAAATGACAAGGGGGCGGTGCCTTGCGACACGCAAAGGAGGTGGCCGGCGCTGCCGCCGCGCGCTGTGCAAACGTGATATACACGGTGGCCAAGCGCTATGCAAATGAGATGGGCGGTACCGCCGTTGTTACGTAAATGAGACATACGCAGAGATCTGTTTTATGCAAATGAGGTGGGCGGTGCCGCCGGGGGCGCTATGCAAATGAGCTCCTCGCGGCGCCCCGCCCTCTATGCAAACCAACCGGCGCCGCCGCCGCGCTCCGGGCCCCGCCCCCGGCGCGCTCTCGCGAGAGCGGGCGGGGCGGGCGGGCGGCGGTGCCGGTGCGGGGGCCGCGATGCTGCGGCTGCGCTGCAAGGCCCGCAGCGGGTCCCACGCGCTGCCCGCGCTGTCCCCGCACTCCCCGCTCCGCGACATGCAGGCCGCGCTGGCCGCGCTCACCGGCGTGCCCGCCCCCGCCCAGCGTCTGCTGCTCGGCTTCCCGCCGCGCTCCCTCGACCTCAGCGACGGCGAGCGGCGGCTCGGCGAGCTCGGCATCCACTCGGGTGAGGAAGGGGGAGGGAGGGGGAGCGATGTAATTAATGTAATTACGTTAATTAGAGAGGCCGTGGCGCGCACGCCCGTCATCAGCCGGCGGTCGGGCCGGTTCCTGTCCCAGGGAGGTGTCAACACCCGGCTCGGGAGCGTTTCCTGCTCGGGGAGCGCCGGTGGTGCTTTGGCGGCGTCCCGGGGGTCCGGCGGCAGCGGCGCGGGGCTGGAGGGGACGGGACCGGGACACGCCAGGTGAGTCCCCCCGGGGCCGCTGTGCTGCCCCCGGCTGCTTGGATAGAGCTCTTTTCCATCAGGATACTGAGCTGTGGCTGCCCCAGCCCTGGAAGTGTCCAAGGCCAGGTTGGACAGGGCTTGGAACCTGGGCTAGCGGAGGGTGGAACTGGGTGATCTTTAAGGTCCCTTCCAACTCAAACCATTCCACGGTTCCACGATTCTGTTCTATGACCCTCAGCAACAGCAACAACACCACCACAGCTGTGTTGTTGTGTTTTAACAGCAGCTTTAAACTCCACCGGCTCGCGTCCCTCTCACCTCTCCCATGTCTCCCCTCTGGCAGGTGACACCCTCATAGTCGAGGAGGACACGTCCAAGCCCGACCCCGACCCGCCTGTGGTGGCCAAGAGAACCATGTCCCACCCGCTCAGGGAGGCCGTGCCCGTGCTGGCCAGGAGGGTGGTCCCAGCAGACAATTCCTGCCTGTTCACCAGCGTGTCCTACGTGGTGGAGGGCGGCGTGTACGACCCCGGCTGCGCCCCGGAGATGCGGAACCTCATCGCCCAGATCGTGGCGAGCGACCCCGAGTCCTACTGCGAGGCCGTGCTGGGCAAAACCAACAGGGAGTACTGTGACTGGATCAGGAGGGAGGACACCTGGGGGGGGGCCATCGAGGTGTCCATCCTGTCCAAGTTCTACCAGTGCGAGATCTGCGTGGTGGACACGCAGACCGTGCGCATCGACCGCTTCGGGGAGGACGCCGGCTACGCCAAGCGCGTCCTGCTGATCTACGACGGGATCCACTACGACCCCCTGGAGCGCCGGATCCCCGACTCGGACATTCCCCCCCAGACCATCTTCTCCACGAGCGACGACGTGGTGCTGGCGCAGGCCCTGGAGCTGGCGGACGAGGCCAGGAGGAAGAGGCAGTTCACGGACGTGAACCGCTTCGCCCTGCGCTGCATGGTGTGCCAGAAGGGACTCACGGGGCAGCTGGAGGCCAGGGAACACGCCAAGGAGACTGGACACACCAACTTCGGGGAGGTGTGACACGGGCAGCATGAGGATGGTTCCATCAACTACCTCACCGGTCCAGGATCAGATTCTGGATTCCCCCAGATAAGCTGTTTGCAACCATAAGGAAAACTCCGTTCGTGACAAAAAAAAAAAAAAAAAAAAAAAAAAAAATAGAAAAGCTTGAAAAGCAAAGTAGCAAAGTTAACTTCCTGGTGGCCAGGTTTGGGAAGAGGGGATTGGAAATAGGGATCTCCTCGCATAGCAGGTGGTGGACAGGGGCAGCTACACCTCGATTCCTGAAATAACCTTTTGTGTGTGTGGTCTGAGCAGACAGACACAATCGGGCTCAACACTGGTGTAAAATCCACCTCTGAGTTGCTGAGTGAACCTCTCTACGTTTTCCAAGTAATTAATCCAAAGGTTTGGGAAACACACATAGCAGCATTACTTACACTAAGAATTAGGCTCTGCACGTGGGAGCACTTCTCAGAGGAGAAGCTGCTCGTGTAATAGAAATAGCAAATACAACATCAAAATGCAATTTGTAGTAAAAAGAGGATCTCAGAGCTGCCCTACACCATGTTACCATCAGGAGCAGACTGTAGTTTGTGTGAAGAGAACTTTAGGGAAAGAAGTGGCCTCTAAGCTTTAAGGTAGCCTTCTTTAAATTAATGAGTAGATGGATAAGTGTTGAATAAACCTATTAATCCTCCATAGGTAGTTTTTAGTTGCTTGAAAAAAAATAACTCTCAACCCCCCTGGTGTTTACACTGCATCAGAACGTAGGCATGTTTTCCTGGAATACTTGGTATTCTTCTTCTTAATAGTATTGGAAATTATGGCAAGAGGGAAATAAGTAGTTAGGGAAGTGACTTAATTTGCATCTGTTAAATACATTTAAGCAGACTTTACTTGAGTGGAGCCAGTCATGGCCATAGTGTTACAAAGCTGTTCCAGGTTCCAAATACTGTATTATGAGCACTTTAAGGTTGAGTTCTCACTCTTTGCTGGTAATAAGTTTTGCCCTTTAAAGGCCAGAGTGCTGAGCCAGAAGGGAGGCTTGAAGTTTCTTCATCTGCTTTCTGCCTTAATGTGTTTGTTTTATCACTGGTGACTGTAGAGTAGCAAGACTTTTAATTCTGATAATGAAAGGTGCAGTTGAAATTTCAGAACAAAATAAGCTGTATTTGTACTGTTGAGTATCAGGGAAGATGAAATGGGTTTAATATCTTACCTCACAGTGGGGTTGTGAGGCTGAACTGCAAGTGCTTTTGAGGTCTTTTAAAAGGTGCTGTAAAGGTGCATATTACTGAAGGGGATTTTTTTTTTTCCTTTGAAATGCCTGCAACACATACTTGTTTCTTGAATTTTAAAATATTCTTTGCCTGCCATTTTTCTGTTACTGTCTTGAGTGACCTTCCTTGCACTTTTAAAACGGGGAGCAAGAACGTGCATCTGTCTTTGGACTGAGGCAGAAAAAAACCCACTTTCCACGTGGAACCTAAAATCCAGTTTTAAAGGCCTCCATTCTTTAAGGCACCTGACTAAAGTGGTGCAGCAGAACCACCTTTTCTACACAAAAATCACGTTTCACTGAAGTTCTCAGCGAAAGCTCCCGGTTGGATCTTGAAACACAGGAAGGTCTTATTGAAGAAGAAACATAATTACACAAGTGCTTTTCTGAATTAAGGCATGAATAATTAGATATAAAGACTAGAATCACCAAGAGCACTATGGACCAGGTTTGGTTTTAATTCAGTATTAAAATAGCACTGTTGGAAGTTTCCTGTAGAAAACCATTTAGCTTCCAGTGTTAAACCCCGCTCTGCTTTTAGCCTGTCATTAGGAAAAGAAGGAAAAAAAAAAACCCAACATTAAAACCAGCCCTCTAGAAGCTGATGCTTAAAAACCTAAAGAAATACCCGCCAGTTCAAAGGAACTTGAAGATTACACTGTGTTATAACTACTTGAGCTGAAATCCTGTCCAGGAATGAGACCAAGAGACTGTCAGTCCCGAGGTGTGTTCCCAGCTTTCCCAGGGAAGCCGTGAGATGCCTTGGGCAAGGAGCTGATCCTCACCCTTTGCCATCTGTAAAACAGACACAAAAAACCTACCTCAGAGAGGTGCACGAGGTGTCTTTGGGTGTCTTTGAAACAGGAGTGGAAGATCCATATTTATTGTCTGCCGTGTTTGCAAACGCATTGACTTCGGGGAGCAACACTTAGATTTTAGCTTCGTGTCCTTGGATGGTTTTCTCAGAGTGTGTAAAACATCTTCTTTTTGTTGTTGTTGTTTTGGTATTTCTCAGTTGCAGTATTTTCTCAAATTAGCATTCTTTAATCCAGAGTGTTTAGCTTTGCTAGATCATGTTTGCCTTGGAAATCTGCTGACAGAGAGAATCAGTTCTGTTTGAGGGAGACGTGTCACTTATCACTGCTTGGATGTTTTCTTTTGTTGCCTAGAAAATAAAATCTCTTTGCTTAAAAAAAAAAAAATAAATCTCAACTGAACTTCTGTAATTCATGGCTGTAAAAGTTCACACTGTTACAGGCTGACAGACTCAAAGAACAAGTAACCTCTGGTACTGACTGAGTCAGAAAACCACCTGTGATTTTCCTAAACTGGCCCAAACAAAAATATCTACATTATTTCAAATGTAAGGTCTGGGTAGATTTAAAGTACAACTCCCTTTCTTTCAGGGTTTGGTTTTTTTTTAGTACCTTTTAACCAGGATTTGCCTGCCCTTAATGATACCTTTAGGGAATTATCACAAAAATGACATCCTGCTATTAGTGGGATGAACTTCTGAACATCACTCCTACATTTGCACTGAACTGTGATTAAATGTACAGCAAGATGTTAATTAGGGATATTTTAGACTAGAGCTGGTGTGGGACACAGGTACAGGTAGGGAATAGTCTCACCTGGCAAGAGCAGTCTGGAAAGTCTCTATAATACTGACTTATGTCCTTACCATCATTTCTGTTCTCACACACACTTAAAAGAAGCCTTAAATTCCCAGGTTGCCCAGAGGAGCTGTGGCTGCCACATCCCTGGAAGTCTCCAAGGCCAGGTTGGAGCAACCTGAGATTGTGGAAAGTGTCCCTGCCTGTGGCAGGGGGTTGGAACTAGATCATATTTATGGTCCTTTCCAACCCAGACTGTTCTGGGATTCTATGATAAATATCAAGAGATACCTGAGATACCAGGACTCACAGAGAATTTTACATACCTCCAGAATCTTTTATGCATTGAAATGTATAAATCATTAAATACACTTTACAAATATTTGGGCTCAGTGGTACACAGATCTACTCCATGGATGCCATAGACTGAAACACCAGTCTTGGGAGAAAATCAGTAATACCCTGAATTTCTCAAGGGCAAACCCAATTCCTTAGTTCTGGATGAACTCAGATAAAAAGAGCAGCTCCCGGGGAGAGCACTGAGAAAAGGAACATCTTGTTCCATGGTACAGAAACAGCATCTTAAATCAGCACCTTTCCATGTGCAGGGTCACAGGAGGAGCCACTGGGGACAGTCTGGGGACAGTCTCCTGTTCCCATCCCACTTTCATCAGGAACTGGTGGAGAAGATCGCAGTGCTACAGCTGTGATCAGTCCTGAGGCAACAACCCACTGTGAAACTGCACCACAGGAACACAATGTTCATTTTTAAAGCTCTCTGACCCAAGCAAAGTTATCTATTTGCCCTTCTCCACCTTGGAGGAGCAGGAGAGGCACGAATGAGAAAAAGCGGAATTTCTCTGCCTGAAACACAGAAACCCACGTGTTGAGGCAGTTTCTGAGAAATCAGACTGACACACAGCCTCTGAATCATCTGTGTTTGGCTGATTTTACTGCCCCTGCCCTGCACGAACCCACCCATGGGCCAGCCCTGCCAACCCCTCCCTGCCAGGGAAACCCTTAATAAGAGGAACACAAAAAGTTTTCAGCTTGCTACTTTGAAAATTACAACCATCCTACAATTAAATGTCTGCCTGCATTTTAAATCCAACTGCATCCAGCTGTAAAACTGCCATCAGGTTTGCTCTGCTCTGGCCTGGGCAGGGTAAAATTCCTTCAAATTGGGTGAAATCAATATTGTTTTTTCACCAATCTGAGCACCAGAATGGTTTCTGTAACAGAAATGCAATAGGGAGTTAACAAAATTAGGTTGGCCAAGATTACAGTTTCCTCATCTATTATTTTTAATTAAAGCCTTGAGGAAAACGTTGGGGAACTGTATTATACCTTGAGAGCTGCCTTCTCATTTCTGGTGTTGAGTTAATGGCAACCAAGCTATGGAAACACATCACTTCAGCTCTCTACCTCTGTTCTGTAAAATAGAGATAATAAATAGAGTTCCTTGGCCATATTAGGGTTTAATGACTTCTGTAAACTGCTGTGGAATAGCAGGCAACAACTACCTGGTATTTTCCATAACTGATTTGTCAGCACACAGGCTGTGCCTGCAATTTGGTTTAAGGAAAGTGTCCAACAGCCCCACAGAGTCAAATAAACGTCTTAAGTTGACAAGAATCTTATCAGTGACGCCATGTGGATGTGTTTCCTTCGGGGCCAGCCCTGAATCATTTGTGTTTATGGACAGGGTGGGGCCCAGCGGGTCTGAGAACGTGCCAAAGTCCTTTCAGGGCATTGTGAAGTTTTCCCTGCATCATTTGACTCCTTTCATGTACTTCGTGCCATATATATGAAATCAGACCTTGTTTTGGGTCAGAGCTATTTATATTCAGTGGAGGAAGAGGAGGAATGTGGAAAAAGAACAGGTTCTTCCTGGGCATCTGATTCAGAGGAGCTCAAGATTTCTCTTAATGGATCATGACACTTTCCTGACCCCCACAGGGCTCTGCAGGCAGCCAGCTCTGCCTGTTTTATTGCACACATTCGAGGCCTTGTGCTGTCAGGACACCCTCACCCTCTCCTGTTGCTCATTCACACACTGTTTGCGGTGAAATAACAAAATAACTCCTCGTTTTGATTTGCTCCCCCTCTTAAAGCAGCCTCAGCACTGAGGCACAACTCAGCAAAAAACCGGCGAGACCTTAAAACTTCCATTTAAAATTTAAAATTAATCAATCAATTAAAAAGAGTTAATTGATTTTAACGTTTAGATTAAAAAGACAATTAATTTTAACGTTCAACATTTAAACTCTCTTTAAATCGCCTCACCATCCAGCAGGACACCAGTTAACACCCCCGGAGCAGCTCCACCAGTCCTGCCCCCAGCGCTCATCCCCGGCTGTCGCAACGCTCCGAATGTGCCGCGTCCGCATCCCTTCCCCGCTGCGGGCCGGCGTGGGAGAGCAGGAATGGCTGGGGCTGGCTGGGCTCGTCAGCAGCCTCTGGCTTCTTGATTTGCTCCTCGGCACACGTCCCCTTTTGTAACAGCCCCAAATCCGGCGCTCAGCACTGCAGGTGGGAGCTTCCTGGCTCATCTGCTTTCTTTTCTCTCCGTCTTTAATTAGCTGATGTTTCCACTTCCCTGTTCCGTGTGGAGAAGGGAACATGCGTTGCAACACGGCCTTTCGCTAAAAATACAACTTAAAAAAAAAAATAATCACAAAGACTTGAATGAATCCGGTGGCTGTGCCAGTGCTGGAGATTTCCTGCAGGGTTTCTGCTTGGATGTTTGTGGTTATTCAGTGAGAAGCACCTCGCAGAGCAGGTACAAGTCTGGGGAAGGAGAGGGGAGAGGGGAGATAAACGGCCAAAGCGCTGTTTATCAGCGAGAAAAGCTCTGATTTTAATAGTAGAGCCCAAAGTCGGGGTAATAACAAACCACTGCCTCCTCTCAGCTGCCCCTGCAGCACCACCGGGGCAGATCGGGGGCTGGGGGTCGGTGTCACCCTGCACAGGGTCCTGCAGCCGGACAAACTGGGCTCGTCTTTGCCTTCCCCTGGAGGGAGGCAGCAGAGGTGGTACCCTCGTGCTCGGAGAAGGGGATGCTGCCGCAGGAAATGCCTCAGCAGAGTTTCTGAGAATGTATCAGCGTGAAGAGGAATGGACTTGTAGAGGGGCCCGATGTAAGGAAATATTCCAGGAGGGGCAAAGGGACCTGCAAGTCGGTGCTGGCACAACGAGCCCTGGAGAGGCACAGACCCGGGCACCCCCTTCCCTAGCACGTAAATAAAGCTCAGTGGCGAAGCTTCCCTTCCAAAACACTTTCTACCTGTCCTTACAACCTCCTGCCAGCGCACAGCAGCACGCAGCAAACTTTTGGCCTCTGGGAAGCTCTGGTGATCTACAAGTACATACCTGTTCTAGCACAGTCTGTGTTTTTAAGAGCCGAGAGAAGGAACCGGCTCCTACCCCCGAGCCTGCGGGACCTCCTGCACAAACCACCTGGGAGAAGAAACCTGTTGTGGGGGTGACGCGTTTCAGGGCGCAAACGCCCAGCCAGGGACGTAATTACCGTGTACAAAGGCTTTTTGGTCAGGGCAGCAGCTCGGAGTGCCCCGAGTGTCAGCGAGCAGCTATGCGGCAGAACAGGATGTCGGATTAAGGAGTCTCCGGCGAAACCCGTGCCGAGGACATCAGAGGACACCCGGCGGAGCAGGGAAGTGAGTGAGCTGGGTGGTACCAGCCCGCAGCCTCCCGGGTGCTGCCTGTGCTGGCTCGGAGAGCTCGGCACGCCACGACCCAGCGCTTTGGGGTCACAGCATGGAGGAGTTTTAGGGGCTCGGCGGTGCCCTGAGCCCAGGAAAGATGCCCTGCGTGGGGGCGAGATGAATTTCTGTCGCCCCGGTGCTCGTGGCTGCAGGTGAGGGGCCGGGGATCGCTGTACCTGCAGAGCTCCCGCCCGCCCAGCACCCGCGCAGCCTCATCTCCGCCGGGGAGGAGGGTTAATGTGTAACCCGGCTCTGTTTGGTTAGCCCAGAAAAGCAAAGAAGTCCTGGGATAGGCACGGCCGGGACGAGGAATTGGGCAGCACGCGACGACGGACGGCCTGGTAAAAAAAAAAAAAAAAAAAAAAAAAAAAAAAAAAAAATACAGATTAATAATAATAATAATCTATATTCCTTCTTGTCCTTTGCTTTCTGTGCTTTTCCTGCTCGATGGGCTGCGGGTTGAGGGGCTGAGCGTCTCTGCCTGGGTGGGATGGGGGGTGCTCTGGGTGCCTGCAGGGCTTTGCTTTGGAAGGGTGAAATGTGGTGGAGGTGTCACCAGCAAAGCTGGTTTGAAGGTGGTGGTGGGAGACAAGCTGGGGAGACCCACAGCTGCTGGGGAAACTTGTGCTCAGGACAGCAAACAGCTCGGGCAGCTGCTGCATGTGCTTAATTTACTTGTTTAAATAGGAGAAACTATAGATCTGCCACCATCCCCTTTCCCCCTGAGGTGGGATCCATCCTGCTGTGCTGCTCAGAGCAGGAGCAGCTGGGACGGTGCCTGCAAAGGGGGGGTTTTGCTTTCATTTGTGTTTCGGGCTGGCCAGGACAAAGCCAAGGCAGGAGGGGTTCGGCTGCTCTGCCTCAGACGGCAAAACCACCGAGGTCCTTTAGCACTGCTGGAGAGCTGGGATAGGGACCTTGGAGTGGTGCTGGCTAAAAGAAAGTAGCCTCTTCACATAAAGCAATTAGCATTAATTGCTACCCAGCACGTCTTTGATGTTTGAGGGCTCCGTGGGCTTTGCAAAGGACAGTTATGGCAGCGGCCACGGAGCCTGAGGGAAACTGGCTTTTTGTTTTAGATAAAAAACAGCTTCTTCCAATAGAATTTTTAGTGGTGGAAGAGCTACACAGCACTGAAAACCAGCTATAAAACAGCTTTTCAAGCACCACGTCTTTAAACGCTCGGTCGCATTTTTAGTTTGTGGCTGTTCCTCAGCGAAAAGGAGGAACTGTAAAATCCTTCTGAATCACGAAAACTGGGGGGGTTTCAACACCGAATTTTTTTTTTCCCCCCTTTCCTGAGTTATGCATTGGAGCCATAATCGCATCAGGGAACTGGTGGGCAGGAAAATGAACTTCTTGTTTTGGTGCAGATCCTCTCCAGCGCCCGGCGAGCTCGGGGCTGAACTTTGCCTCCCCGTGAGCTGGGGCTCGACGGCTGCCAAACCTTTGGCAGCTGCTTTGGGTCTCTATAAGTACTGTTTGAATGAGAGGAAATTAGTTCTTTAGTGGACTGAAGATGGTGGGCATCCTCATGGAGAAACTGGCTCCCTCCCACTCAGACACTGCTGGCCCCAGCCAGCTGCCAGCTCAAGTTAAAGCAAGACTTTCACTTCCCCAGAAGTGTTTTGCTCTTTCAGATTTGGGAGGGAGGCAGCGAGAGGCATTAAAACAATCATGGTCAAGCCTCTTGCTACTTAGAAGTAGATATAAATCTACAAATCTGTATATCTAATTGTGATATAAATCTAAATTTCACGTTGGGGGCGTTCAAGTGCACAACAAAACTGTGCAGAAGCCTAAAGCCCCCTAAACTCAGCAGGTATCTGCTTCCTGACAGCTCAAAGCCCTGGCTATGAAGTGATCTGAATTCAAAGGATCCAGGGAATTGCTGTTTCAAAGCCACCACTTACTGCAACGTCATTTAAGCAGTAAATAATGCAAAGCCAAGACTGAAATATTAAACTCCTCCTGCATGGAAGGATTAGATCTGTCAGGGCGTGGGCGTTGAAATCTGATTTTTGTGGCGTATTCCAATTACAAAGGAATTCTTTCAGGGTCTAACGCTCCGAACAAGCAGCCAGTTCTGCTCACTTATCTCTGGATCTAATTCCCTGATCCTGCTACAGGCAAAAAAAAAAAAAAAAAAAAAAAAAAAAAAAAAAGGAAAAAAAGCAGCAGCAGTTTGTTCCTGTGGCCAGGTTACAGCACAAAGAGCTCCTCTGTCTCCCGCCGAGAAAATCCTCTCGCGTGGGTCCCCGTGTGTGGCAGGGGGGGTTTGTTTTGCTGCTCCCATTCGCCCCCGCAGCCCCAGTTCCCTCCTGAAGAAGGGGGTGGTGCATGTGAAGGAAACTAATTGGTGGTGCCAGGGAATTTTGGAAGCTTCCATGCTTTACCTCCGTAAGTAATTACACCTTCCGTGGGCGCTCGGCCCGTCCCCGCGGGCAGCAGAGCTCTCTGCAGGTGTAACTGTCCCCTCTGCCACCCAGGACCCTGCTCTGGGGTGGTTTCGGGGTTGGGAACCTCAGTTCAGGGTGTTTGTCAGGCAGCTGCTGCCACGTTGGGGTCCCTCTGATGTTTGGGGTCTGGGCTGCATCCAGAAGAGCATCAGGGGGGCATTGAAGTGAGCAGAGGGGACATCGGGGTGCTCTTTGCAACCCCCCTGGGGCAGCTGCATGCCCTGATCCCTGCAAGCTGTGCCAGGCATGTGCCCAAACACACCCAGGCATGCCCTGAAGGTACAGGGGCACCTCCCTGGGGGCACCTCCCTGGGGGCACCTCCCCGGGGGCACCTCCCCGGGGGCACCTCCCCATGGCTCCCCAAGGAAGGGTGGCAGAGGAAGCTCTTTGCCAGGAGGAAGCTCCTGATAGAGCAAGGATGTGAGTAAACAGCAGCATTTCGGGTCAGCACGTTCAGAAGTTCAAGCTGCAGGGCTGGCAGAGGGTGTGGTGGAGGGAAGAGGTCCCATGAGCCAGGGCTGGGACTTGAGCTGGGCAGGATCTCTGCTGCTGAGCTGGGTTTACACAGCTTTTTCCCTTGCCTAATCCACCCCTCTGAGATGATTAGAGACCCACCAACACGAGCTGGCCATGGATGGGCTGTTCCAGAGCTTATCCCATCTGGGGAAAACTTCAGTTCGAGGATGCTTTGAAACAGCCCAGCTGTGTCTTCTCCTGGAGAGAGCAGCCTAAGATGGAGCACATTTATACCCATCCAGCAGTTTCAGAGCCTCCCTCCAGCTGAGCCAGGGGGGAATCTCACAGCTTAATGCTTCTCCTTTCTCCTGCTCCAGCCGGGATACTGCCCCTGTGCCGGACACCACGGCAGCCCAGGATATGCCCAGGAAGGAGCTGGGGATGGCTGGCTGCAACTCTGGCAGCTGTGACAGCATGGTCAGCACGGCCTCCAACCACTCACAGCGGGTAAGTCACCCTGGTGTGATCAGCTCGGGCGTGGAGGGGCTCAACTCACCCCTCTGGGCAGCTGAGGAAGGATTTTGGTCAGATCTCTGCTCCAAACTGCTCTTCATCGGTGCTTTGGAAGCACCTGGGGGCCCTGAGACAGCACCGTGCTCAGGGCAGCACAAGGACCAAATTAATCCCTGCCCCAGAGCACTCCCAGACTTCCCATCCTGCCAGGGGTGCGGCAGCACTCGGGAGCCTTCGCTCCTGAAAGGTGTCCTTTGGGACATGACCCCGAGAGCCCAGTGGCTCCTGTGCTGCCCAAAGGTGCAGATGGAGGGCAGGAGGGGCCTGGCCGTGCCCCAGGGAGGGATTAGACCAGTTGGATCACTGGGTCAGACTGGCTCCAGCAGGGGAGACAGTGAGCTGTGCTCCTCCCAGCTGCCAAGAGATTCATTTCCCAGTTAAGGCAGAGAGGAGTTTGGACCATGGGTGTAGATGTGTAATTTTTCACTATCTGTCCATTAAAGCTTGTTTGTCTCCCAAGACTGATTCCAAGATTGATGGACTAATTACATCCTGTCTGACTTGGAGCATAATTGATATGTGGAAGTGCAGCACTCAGTCCTGACAGGTTTTCCATTTGATGTATTGCAAACCAGAACCAAACCCTCTGAATTTAATAGGGATGGAAAAACTGGTTGTGATATTGCACGGCAAAAGATTTGGATAAGTGTCTCTGCAAAACAGCTCCACCTGGGATAATTCCTCCTCTGTGTTTGTTGATCTGATGCACACTCCATCCTGTCCTGCACTTCATTTTTTTTCATGATATATTGCAGGAATCACCTTGTAACCTGGCATTTCCACAGCAATATCTGATATTACAATATCATATCTCCTGGTACTCGAAATACAACAAAAATTAAACAGGGTCTTGCTGAGTTATGAATGGGAGGACATGGAGAGTTCATCACCTGCACAGAAACCTTCAGTATTTAGGATTTTTCTAAGGTTCAGCACTGCTGAGCAGGACAGGTGTCTTTACCAATAGATCACCCATGTCACCCATCTGCTCATATTTCAGAGTAAATTAAAGAACTAAAAGGTAGAGGCCAAGTTTTCAAGTTCAGAATAACCCATCTTCTGACACACAGAGTGGGGCAATACAAAAATGGCTTTAAGTGTATATATATATATATATTTCTATTTTAGAGGAAGCTGTATATATATTTTTTTATATTTTTTTTGTCTATTTTTCAGTGGTTGCAATACCGATTTTTGGAATAGCCACTGGCCCAAGTCTCCTGGCCAGGAGCTGTCACAGGCTCCTCTTAACTACCAGGACATTAAACAGAAAACACCTTTTTAAACAGAAAACACTATTAAAGAGAAAACACCTCTGTCTCCTACCTTTACTGCTTCATGTTCTTTTTTCCAGAGTGATAACAGCTATGACTATTTATCTGTGGAAGAGAAGGAGTGTTTGATGTTCTTAGAAGAAACCATTGGCTCACTGGATGCAGAAGCAGACAGTGGGGTCTCCACTGATGAGACTGACTATGCAGAGCCCTCCAAGCTGCCTGGGATGTGGCCCAAGAAAGACCCCGTGGGCCAGGGTAAGTGGGAAACCCTTCTCCAGGATTTGTGTGCAGAGGGAATGTCTCATGGGGAGCATTCCCTTGGCAGGGAGGGGAGGGGCAGTGCCCCAGTTTTATGTGTGTGGTGAGGCACAGCCAGGTGATTTCCATCACTCGCTGTGGGCACCAGCTGCCTTCTCCTGGTTCTCCCGGGCAGCTTTGGAGCAAGGTCAGCAGGACCACAGGGCAGAGCACCTCTGCTCATGCTCCCAGCAGGCTCACACAGATTAACCTCCTTCACCAGGTGCTTTGTCAAACCCAAAGTGTGTCTGTCTGACTTCCCAGGCAGTGACAGGTCAGCTGGAGTCAGGGTGAGCTCTGGGGGCGAGTCCTGAGTCGTGGCTGTGCTGGCTCAGCGGGTGTGAAGCGTGTCCTGCAGACAGGAAGGTGCCCTGAGCCCACGTGTGGGATGGTGTGTGACTTCATCTCTCTCTTTCCCCAGATCTGGGAAATGGGGCTCCCCCTCCAAGCAGAGGTCAGCGTGCAGCTGAACAGAAGAGTGGCAAGAGCATCTCTGCCTCCTCCAGCTCAGCTCCAGCAGTGGTTCCAAGCCCAGGCTATTTCAGTCTTCCAAGGAATATCCCTGCAGCAAACAGAGCTCCTGACAGCAAGGTGATTGTCCACACGGTGAAGGACCCGGTGCCAGGACAAAAACCTTCACAGGAGGACAGGCTTGACCAAGCCAACACAAGAAGCCATGTGAAGTCCATGGGATCTTTGATTATCCAACCTCAAGATCCCTTCCAGGATGACCAGGTGACCCACGAGTGGTCACGCAGCAATCGCTCAGATGCCAAGGGGGAAACAGCCAAGGAGACCAAGACTTGGACTTCATGGGGCCAGCCAGAGAAATCCACACTGGAAGAGGCCTCTCAGGACCCTGATGCCAAGCGAGGGCCTCCAACTGCCCCCAAGCCACGAAAATTGCCACCAAATATTATCCTGAAAACCAGCAAAACCAGCCCGGTGCCGCTCGCCACGGAGCACAACCAGAAGGTAAAGGCACCACCTCCACCCTCAGGTGGCTCTCAGCCCAGCTCTGCCAGTGATGCCGCTGCTGAAAAGGTGAACCCTGGGCACCTCGACCCCAAGGAGAAGGAGAAAGCCCACCGGGAGGCACTGGAGAAGCTCGGACTGTCACAGGACAGGAGGGAGCCCAGCGCCCACCTCCAACCTCCCACACCCCCCCAGCCAAGGGAGGCTCCGCTCCCCGTCCCTGGGGAGCCCGAGGCAGCAGGAATCCGACAAATAGCATTCAAATCCAACACCCTGGAGCGCTCTGGAGTGGGGCTGAGCAGCTACATGGCCAGCACCAAGGAGCAGAACGCCAAGAGCAGCAGCTCCCTGGGCAAGATGTCCTTCATCGAGCGGCTCGCCCCGAGCTTCCTCAGGGGCGGCCGCCCCCGGCCCGTGTCCCTCGTGGCGGGGAAGGACTTTGCTGGCCTGAAGGAGCAGGGGCAGGTGGAGCAGGAGAAGAGCAGCAAGAGGAGATCCCACCCTCTCCCGAGCTTCCCGAGGCCCTCCCGCTCCGCCGTCAGCGTGAAGATCTCCCCGAAGGGCACGACCGACGAGAACCGGCGCGAGGCACTGAAGAAGCTCGGCCTGCTGAAGGAATAACTCCACGGGCTGGTGGGAGAGGGGCTTTTCACCCCAAAATCCAGGTGTCTGCACTGCCTGTCCCCTGGCAGGTCGCTCCTGTGCTGTGCTCTGCTGCTCTGGCACCTCAGGAGAGGCCCCCGGAGGTGTTTGGAGCTTCATGACCAGATAAAGTAACGCCACATGTACATAATATTTTGTACATAGCAAGTGTATATGAGCTATTTATATAAAGCATCACTCGGCATGTGGGCAGGGTGTGTTCTCCTACAAGGTCTGTAATGCATTTGGGGATCCACTGAAACAGGGAAGCCTTAGAATTAGGGGTTTGGCTTGTTTTAAAAGGGGTTGCCTGTGGATAAAGCCTATTTGGGAAGAACTGCAGGACTCTGCTGTTCCTTCGGGACTTTTTTGGGGGTATTTTTATTACTTTTATCACAGCCTCTGAGGCCTGAGCGCTCACCTCCCGCATGCAAGTGCCTCCCAAAACCACCACTGCCACACACAAAACTGTTGGACCAACAGGCACTGGAGGGGCTCAGCAAAGCTCTCCCTCACACGGTGTCTGCTGGAGGGGCTGGAGGGCTGCCCACACATCCCACTGCCTCCTCTGCCACCCTGCTCTCCCACCCAGCCCCAACCTCCTGGATCTGGCACTTGGAAGATGTATGAACGTCATGAAGTGACTGTTAAGAAGCAACAGGCTGTGTCGGTGTCAGATCCAGAAGTGCTACCCAAAAATGAGAGAGATGCAAGCCTGAAACAACACCAACTCATTCCCTTTCAAACTCTCCTGGCATCTCTCAGCCCCAGCTGATGCTGCCAACATCTGTGCTGCTCACCTTTTATAACAGAGGTGGTTTATTTCTCTAATAAACTTGTATACGATCAGAAAATGACTGTGTAGTACAGATTTATGTTGCAATCAAAACTCTGGGAAAGCTAAATACTGCTTTTTAACCTTCAATATATCTTGATTTAAGGAGTGTCAGTCACCCAGGCAGCAGCTGGGCATTACAACTGATGGGTCTGAACCAGAGGCAGGGGATCCTGCACCCCAGGAGCCACAGAGATGGGTTTTTTCTGTAAGTGCACAATCAGCAGATGCAAAGTCTCCCATGGCAATCCCATGGAACTGGTCTGGTGGAAGGTGTCCCTGTCTAGATCAGGGGGTGGAACAAGGTGAGCTTTAAGGTCCCTTTCAACCCAAACTGTTCCGTGATTCTCTGACTCCCGGCTCTCCCTGGGAGCACAGAGGGGGAATGTGGAATACCTGGTGCTCCTGTGTTTACTGGCAGGCTTGAACCAGCCTGATGTGCAGCCAGGCAGCAGGAGAGGTTCCACCCAGCCCTGAACTCCTCGGGCTGGAGACTTTCAAGTGCAAATGATTGACTTTAAAGGCAGCAGGAGCACTGTCTAAAGGGGAGAGGAAGATGCAAAGTTAAGCCCCAAATAAAGGGGTCAGCCAAGCTATTGCCTGGTTTAATGGTACATTTTCATCCATGTGCTCCTCTCCTCTGACCATTCCATCTTACCCACAGCAGATTCCAGCTCCTTAATGCTCTGTCTCACTGCTCATCACTTGTATAATGCAGATACATGACTGCTGCAGACTCAAAGGTAATCTCACCTCGATTATCTAATGAGAAAGGAGGAGAGCATTGAGGTCTCCCTCAAAGCATTTTTGGCCTGAAACAGAACCTAAACTTTTCTTAAAACCAGATTGTTTTGGAAACAAAAGGATTCTCTTCCAATCCTTGGTTTTAGTCAAAACCAGAATGTACTAGAGCCGTGAAAGCTGAGTTTTTATCAGATTTCCAGGCAGAAATCTCACTTCCAAAGATTGCTTATTAACCTGTGATGGGGCGGAGTGATGTTCCTCAACAGGGGCTGTGCACGTTGGAATGAAATGCAAACAAAAGAGACTAAATGAAAACAACCTTTAGCCACCAGGAGATCAGGGTCATTCCTCTGGGAATGAACTCCAGATCTGTGTGTTTGCACGGGGTGCAGTGCTCCTGCTGCTGCCAGACCCTCTGGGTTGGATCACTCACCATGGGCAAGCCCCGTTCCAAGACTCTAAAGAGCTGACAACTGTACCCTCAATGCCTTAATGCAGGTTATACAGACTGTGTTTATGTGGCACAACGATGTTAAAGACCTAAAGAAAACACTCAGCTTTGCATTTTGCACAGAATATTCATCTGCTTCTTAACTATCAGTCCCACACTGGCTCAGACATATCATTTCCATGTCTACATGAGCCTGTCAAGACCTACTATCCCAATTAAAAGCATCCTGGTGCTCATCTTTCATTACAAAGATAAAATTCAGGAGAAGTGGTTTGTTAAATTCTGGCAGTCTCAAAGAAGAACATCATCTGTGCTGGGCCACAGTCTCCAGGAGAAATCATTCCTTAGCCCAGCTCATCAGCCCCGAGCATCACCAGGGCCTCTCTCATCTTACAACAACCAACCGAGGCAAATCCCAGTCCTTTGAAATGAAAAAAAAAAATTAAAAATGTGTGGCAGACTCAAATTTAGGAACAACATTCCATGGAAATTGGTGCCCTTCCCTCAGCCAAGGGTTTGCTGACATGCAGAGCTGCCCCCTCACATTAAGATGTGCCTGTGCAGGAGGTGACTCCGAGCTCTGCTCCCATCAGGGGGACACCTGTCCCTTCCCAGGACAGCCTAGTACAGGATTGACACAATATACTCTGTGTTTCTCTCCATTACCTTCTTTAAAAGAAAAAAGGCATCTGTACCCCCAGACCTCGTCACTGCTGCTCCCACCTGTGCCACCCTTGGCACTGGAGAACCAAGAACCTGCAGGTACAGAAACCCAGACAGCAAAGACAAGCCCCACCAGAGGCATTCCAGCCTTTTCCTGCCAGCTCCTGCTGCGTTAAAACAACCAGGGTTTCTCGCCTTGGGTTTGTTTTGCTTTATTTGCCAGCGATGCAAATTTACACTGATAACATCTTAAAAACAAAACTAGATCCAACATTCCTCATTCCTGCTCTTAAAACCCGTGGGTTCAGGCTCAGGTTGGCAGGGCAGGGGGGTGAGGACACTGTGCTTCCCCAAGATCTCTTTGTTTCCAAACACCCTTTAACTTTGAAGTCCGGGAAGTGACAGAAAGGGGCACTGTTGTTCTTTGCACAGGGATTTAAGTGCAGCAGGAACAGATTTGGCTCCTTCTGAGCGCGTTGCCCTCGCTGGAGTTTAATCATTAACTCCTGCGGGCACCCTGGAGCAGGCAGGGGTTGTTCCCATTTATTAATTACACCTCTGGCTGCAGAGAGGCTGTGCTGAGGTGCTGACAGCAACCTCCACAACTGCTCAGTGGGGACACACGTGGGCCTGGAGCTCTGGTGTGATCCCTGGTGCTGCCACGCTGCTCACACGGAAAATATTCACCCGCCAGCACGTGGCTGTTATAGGAAGGAAATTCCCTCAACAAGCATAGCCCAGAAGAATAAATTCTGTAAAAGTTAACTCTCCTTTAGCAGTAGAAGGTGCAAGGCAGTGGTACTCCCTCAGGAGGGTCCTTTCCATGTGCTGCCATCCCTGCTCCCAGCTGCCTTGGAAACGATGTTGAGAGATCCCCTTGTTGCTTCCAGTGTTGCTGCCCCTGCTGGATCTATTTTCTTTTTTTGTTTGAAGGAGGGGGGGTCCTCAGATGTCCCTGCTCCAAAAGCTGGGGGCACCTTGGGGACCTTGTGCAGAGCAAGGTGAGTGTTCCCACCCTGGACAGGTGAGGAAGCAGCACCCAGTGGTGTCACAGGTCAAGCTGCCTGTTACTACCCCTGAAAATCACCTCTGTCAGAGCCAATCTGCCTCCACCCAAAATATCTCTTCAGAGCAACCCAGGGTGTGCCCAAGGCCAGGTTGGACAGGGCTTGGAACAACCTGGTCTAGTGGGAGGTCTCTCTGCCCATGGCAGGGGGTTGGAATGACATGAGCTTTAAGGTCCCTTCCAACCCAAACCATTTCCATATATGATTCTATGATCCTATAAAATAGCACTGAGTAGTCTAAGGAGGTTCCCTAAGACTATTTATTATATTCCATTTTATTACTAATACAAGGACAATTCTATGGCTTTGCTTCTGGTGGGGTAATAAATGTCCTCAGATAGATCAGTTGGGCTGAAGCCCAGCCAATATTGGGGAGTTTATTGCACAGGTTTGGTACAAAACACAATTACTGCAATATAAGTAATCATATCACGATAAAGGAGGCAAAACTATTCAACAGAGATTTATCTTCAGGCAGGGACATTCCAAAGGGCTTCAATGATTGTTTTACACAGAAAACAGTCTGGCCTTCAAAGCTTGTCTGCACCCAAGGGGGGAAGAGCAGAACTTTGTACCCTTCAGCAGAACTAGGGCAGAACAAAGTGGTTTCCACCAATCTCCCTCTGAACCCCACACACTTCTCACACAGTGAAAATCCTGGAGACACACAGAGTGCTGGAACCAGCCCAGGGCATTCTCGGAAGTGCCACAGGTAGATTGTTGTTTGCAATAAAACGTTTTTATCTGAAGGAAAAGCAGACCAAAGTCCCTCTCAATAACACAACCATGAAATGCCTCCATAGCTTTGAGGATATCAGCAGGTCTGCACCTCTCTCAATTAAGATTATTTGCTTAGTGCAAAAGAGGAACTGTGTGTGTGCAAGAACAAACCTCCTTTAGATCCATCTTCAGGCCCTGTGAGGCCACAGGTGTGGCCATTACCCCAAAATAAACTGTAATTGTCACAAACATACCTGGGTTTTGGTGGTACCTGTGCAGAGCTCTGGGTTTAGTGCTGGATGATGGTGCCTTTCCTGTGGCAACCAAACCCACCAGCTGGCAGATTTTAAGTGTACAATGGTTAGAACGCAGCAAGATTAAATTCAGAGAGAAATCAGGCAGGGACTGGTAAGGCAAAAAACCAGAGAGACAAACAACCCAACTCTAAAGCAGGAGCTTAAAAGTTAATTTTACACACCTGCAAATGGTTCCCAGAGCTTGGCTGGTGATGGTGATGATGTCCTTGTGGGAGAAGCATCTGGACATGCTCTGTGATGAACAACAGGGAAGAGAAAAACCAGACTTGAAATGTTGGTTAAGCAGCACTTGTAGCAGCACAGCTTCACCACCCTCTTCATTCTTGTTGCAGGGACTGTTTTATAACAGGGGTTGAAGCAGAAACCACCTTTTTGTCCTGGATTCATAAAAAGCACAGCATCAAAAGACAGGCACGAGCTACATGAAGCACTTGGGTCCATTCAAACCACAGCAGTTTGAGGAAACACAAGCAGAGTTCTTCCTTGATGTGAAGTTCTGCCTGGAAGTGGCTCAAAAAATACAACATTTTACTACAAATATTTAGAGACAGGTGTTTCATGTAAAAGTATTTTGTCTGTAGAGCAGGGGAACTCCTCTCAGACTCTTGCACTTTCTGCTCCTGACCTCTTCATCTTTTCTTTTTCCCCCTTCCATGATGTCACCCACGTCATTATGGCTAAAAATGACCATTTTTGGGTTCCATCCTCAGTATATTGGTGGCCTCTCTGCTATCCCTCCAAGCATTTTGACCATCCCCAGTTTGCTCAGCAATGCACATCTAGGTTTGAAAAAATTTTTGGTGCACCCATTTTAAACTCTGGACATCAATATATGAAAAAAAGAATTAAACATCAAGAGGTGAGCAAAGACTAACTGAGCTCCAAGCTGCAAAAAACACTTTATTAAACTAAATTCAAGTTGGAAGCAGAGCAGGAGAAGATTTCCAGCACCAGAAGCACCACAATCTAAGGTAGGTGAGCCTCAATTTTGCTTTAAAATACTGCTGTTTAAAGAACAATGTACAGTGATTATATGAGACACTTTGAGGGATTTCACCTGTGGTGTGTAACAGATCTGAAATTTAAAGTAATTATTTCCATAGCAATAAAGGTAGTAGAGCTTTATAACGATTTTTCTTCTTTTAAAGTAGTTTGCCTTCATTTCTTTTTTTCTTTTTAAAGCTATAAATTAAATTACTGTCTCTTTCTGGCCACGAAAAAATATGTGGACAAAGTAAATACTTATGCAAGTCCACACACAGAGACACTCTGCCTAGTTATGCAGCCCAGTTATGGATGGGGGCAGGATAATGGTTTAATCAGGCAGGTGCAGAAAATTGATCATATAAATATTTTCACAACATGAAACTGAAATGAGGACCGGAGAAAAAACCAATCATATACGGTTTACTTCTGGGATTTATATTGCTTTTTTTTTTTTTCACTTTCTGCTTTATATTTAATGCCTATTTGCTGGAACACCTCCTTGCCTAAAGCCTAAGATTAAATGAAATTAAAATGTAGCTGACAGCTCTGTCCTGCTGATACTAATCCCAAAAATGAGGAAAAGAGGGAGTGCACTGGCTCAGCTGCAGTGCTGTACATCAGAAAAGATTAAACAAACATGGGGATAATATTTTCCTTGATGTAAACAAGGATGTTCAGCTCATTCTTTTCATCTCCTTATTGCTCTAAGCCCTCCAGATCGGTGGGAATTATGGCACTGAGTGAAAATCCCCATTTTTCAAGTCACGCATCCAGTGGCTGCAAGGAGGGAACTCCTGAGGCTCTGCTGAACCCACTGCCCAGGGCTGGGGGGGCTGGAACATCCTCCTGGCTCTTTGCTGGGCACAGGAGGCTGGGCTGGGCAGGCAGATGTGGTTGCACAGACACAAACACCCCTCTCCCCTGCAGAGCTGCCTCAGAAATGGGGAAAACCCGGAGGGGAACTGCCCAAAGGGGATCCTGGGCCAGCTGGACCCCCCCCCCAAGCCTGCGCTGAAAGGGGAAGAGAACATTTCTCCAGCCCTATCCCTCACTTCCCACCAGCCAAGGGGAGGGAGAGGTGGATGTTTGCAAGCATAATGTCTCCAGTACAGGGGGTTCAAGGCACAGCACATGACTGGTTGTGCTGATTTTAGCTAAACCAGGACCCTGGTGCAGAGCTGAGCCCACCTCCCTCTCCTCTGCAGCACAGGGGGTGGAGGGGACAAGCACTGGGCTCCTGTGGGTGTCCAGCCCAGGACCCAGCTCAGCACCGTGGTGAGCAGGAATAAGGCTCATTGTGGCTCTGAATTTCCTTTTTCATTTTTCCTGAATGCTCTGAGGAGATTCCAGTGCCTGAACAAGGATGATTTGCACTTACCGACGTTCCAACTGCGCTGGAGATGAGGCAAATCCTAAACAAAGAATCTTAGGTAAAACGTTGCAGTCACCAAAAGTTTTTAACTCAATCAAGGAAGTAATGCCTGCCCTTAACAGAGACACCCAAACACTGCTCGTGTTCAGATCTGGAAATGGGTAGCAACAATCTGTACACACTGCAGGGAATAAGAATAAAAAAAGGAAGATAACTGGGGGGTGATAGGAGACATTTGAGGATGTTGGCGTTCCTGAGATCTGCAGCTTTTCCAGTTGATTCTTGAGCTGAAAAAAAAAAAGAGAAAGGGAAGAGGGAAAAGGGAGAAGGTTGGCTGCCACTGTCCCCTCATCGCCAGCAATTCCTTTAGTAACCATCCTGCCACCCAGCAGAGGATTTAATGCAGGAGTGTGAGATCTGCAGAGCACTATTACCGCTGCTTTTTCCTTTTGAAATTCCCTTTTTTGGGGGGAATAAACAAATAAAGCTGGGAGCCTGCTCTGCCTCGAGTGCCTGTCAGAGCAATCCAGTGGTTTCCCTCGACAGATCCCAGCCACAGTCTCTCTCTTCTGTTTGATAACACAGAAATCAGCAAAATCCCATCCCCAGCGTGAGATTGTTGGAGTTTGCTGAGTGGACACTCGAGAAGGCTGGACATGGTGGTTCTCTTTCTCTTAGCAGCTTTGCTGCAAGGTGAGTCACCAAGAAAACAGGTCTCCAGCCAGCTATGCTGATAAGAACAGGTAAAGCTGGAACTGGGGACAGAGGCTGTGTTCTTCTGGCTAAATCCTCATTTGGACACTAGACACCTCCACCTGCAATATGGAAACCAGTCAAACCACCCTCCCTGCCCACTAGAAATGTGCAGAGAGTCAGCAAAGCGTGGCCAGAGCTGGGAGGAGAATCCCAGCTCTCCTTTGCTCTCGCTGCAGCATCCACGGGGAGAAGGAAGTTGCCAGATCAGGCAGAGTTTGCAAATGCCAAGGGTTATTCTTAGGTGTTTGCCATTAACTGCTGCCCTTGACCTTTAACTCCAGGGCTGGTGGGGGTCTGGAGCACCCTGTAAGGGGCATGAAAGGGTCTCTCCATTTGTGCCATGGCATAGATGGGTAATGTAGCCCCGAGGGAAGGTAACACATCACATCCAAAATAAACTGTGGACTCTCTGAGCCAGGTGTCCCACTGGGGGCACTCAGAATCACACCCCTGAGTCCAAGGAACCTGGTTTTCCACGTGGAATCGGGTTGTCTCTGAGTAACCGACAGTTTCTTTTTCTGTCTCCTCAAAAGCGCCGGTTTTGGGCAGCCTGTACGGACCCAGGTTTCTGACAGGTGAGGTCGGGGGGTCCGTCACCCACCAGTGCTTCTACTCCATCACACCCGCCAACAAACACGACCGGAAATTTTGGTGCAAAATAGCAGAGAACGGAGTTTGCTACACCATCGTCTCCTCGACCGACCCCGCCTCCCCGGAGTACGAGGGGCGGCTGTCCCTGCGGGACGTCCCCCAGAGCGGCACCTTCACGGTGACAATGACGGGGCTGAAGGGCAGCGACACGGGGAGGTACCGATGTGGCATCGGCCCCACCAGGGGCGGCCTCTACGTCAGCCTGAACCTGACGGTTTCGGCAGGTAGGTTCCGGCAGGTGGGTGGGGACGGGGGAGGTTCTGTTCCACCACCAGCTCAGCTCCCGGGAGCGGTTTGGGATCGGATGCTGGAGCATCCACGCACAGCAGGTGTATCAGCTTTTTATACCCCTCGCTGTTAATCACATATTTACAGTAACGAGGTGTAAAAGCACAGAGATTTGGACAAATCAGCTGTTCATAAATGCAAAAGGAAATTCTCCCCTACCTGGCTGTGTGCTGGACAGTCCCTGTCCTGCTCTCTCCCTGCAGATGCCGGCGTGTCGAGGCCGATCCAGGTCGTCCAAGGGAAGCTCCATGGCTCTGTCACAGTCCTGTGCCCCTCTGGGGACACCCAAAGTGGTGGGAGGAGGTTCTGGTGCAAAGTGGGAAGAAGCAACTGCACTCTCCTAGCCGACTCTGATGGCTACGTGGGAAGGAGATACCACGGGCGCATCTTCATCACCCCCCGGGAGAGCTCTGGAGCTTTCAAAGTCTTGATAAATGACTTAGTAAAGGAAGACTCGGGGCTGTACAGGTGTGGGGTGGAAGGGCTAAATGGTTTGGACAGCCCACAGGAGGTGGCTCTGCAGGTGACCACAGGTAGGACAGGGCACAGGGGGCTGCACAGGTTCCTCACAGTACCAGGTGAGGAGCATTAAACACTAATTCTGTCCCCTCCAACCTGCAGCCTTCGCTCTTCCCAGGAGACCCAAATTCCTCAGCGGCACAGTCGGAGGCTCCCTGTCCTTCCAGTGCCACTATGACCCCAAGGGGAGCTACAAGAAGAAGTATTTGTGCAGGTGGGAGGAAGGGAGCTGCTCTCTGCTCCTGGACACCGACGGGTTTGTGCACGAGTCCTACAAAGGGAGAGTACAAACAACCAGCAGCGACCCCAAGCACGGGACATTCACGGTGGTGATGAGCCAGCTGAGAGAGGAGGACTCAGGATGGTACTGGTGCAGGGCTGCCAGTGGGCACACAGAGCACACGTCCTCTGTGAAGCTGCACATCCACAAGGGTAGGTGGTGGGGTGGCCTGGAACACAACAGGATGATCTTTACCTCCCAACCCCAAACCATTCGGTGATAACAACACTGTGAGAAACATCAGCTCTGCATTTTGCCCTAGTTATCAGCAAGCAACTGAGGTGATGGTAAAGGGTTTGAGGGACGTGAGCTGAGCTTTCAGAAGGGATTTAATTGGTTTGAATTATATTATTGATTCTTTATGATGCATATGACATCCTGATCCAGGCAGGTGCAGTGCAGAGACACATGCCTGGCTCTGAAGATAAGCTGAAGTTTGCAGTTTGAGAAACTGCAGCATGTAAATACACAGATCCATGGAACTGCTCCTCTGGCAGAGACAGAAACAGTGGGGTTAAGGTGGGGATGTTTGCCAAGTGTTAAGGTTTAAGTGTTCCCAAGCTGCTTTCTTTAAGAGTCAAAGGAAAACAGAAAACGCTTTGGTCTGGTAGTTTTTTTCATGCAAGGTGAAATGCATAAATCTTTGGCAACTCTAACACGTTGCTTCTGCAAGAAGACAGATATTAAAGCCTAAAAACAATGTTTTCTGTAGAACTCTGCTCTTCACAAGACCCAGAAACAACCACTCCTGTCAAGTCCACTTCATCAAGTCTGGCTGCCTCCAGAACACCCACACAGAGGAGCATCAAGGGCCGGGTGTACACGGTGGGCTCTGTCACCAAGAGCACCACGGTGGGCACTGTCACCAAGAGCACCACAGTGGGCACTGTCACCAAGAGCACCAAAGTGGGCACTGTCACCAAGAGCACCACAGTGGGCACTGTCACCAGGACAACCAGGACCCTGCTGCCCACTGCCACCCCTGGCACCTCTGGAACCTCCCCAGGTGAAAGCTATCACGAGAGGTAATTCCACAGCCACGTATCTCGTTGGCACAGACTTGGTGGTTTACAACCTCCCTGCCCCAATTCCCAGGGCCCTACAAAGGTTGTGCACAGGTTGCAAGTTGAAAACACCTGCAGGAAAGGTTAGAAGCCAGAGAAGCAGAAGGCAAGGTTACCTCACGTCCATGCACACATCTCTTTGAACTTGTCTCCAAACCTTGTGGTGCTGCCCACTCCTGTGGACCAGATGCCAGAGTCAACAGATGTGCTCCTGTCTGTTTTGCTTTGCTCGGTACAGAGACAGGACCTTGGGAAACATCAGGCTTGAGCAATAACCTGGTGAATCTGTACCTGCTGCACACTTGACTGCACACCTTATCCAAGCCCCTGCAGCAGCCAGTAACCCGGGCAGTGTTGGGTGCTCGGGGTTGCATCAGGAGTTATCTTTGGACAAGGTTAATCAGAAGGCTGTGGGTATTTTGGCCAGTAATTATTCCATGGTAGTTCTCCACACCAAGCCCTGTGGCTCAAGTGGTTTCCCAGTGGATTTACCTCCTGTGCTTCCTGTTAGGCAGGATGGCTGTGAGCAGCTCCAACACTTCTCCCTCCAGCCCTGTCCACCATTCAGCACTTGGGGTAAAGTGCTGGTGTGGCTGGTGCAGATGCACCAGATATTCCAGGATCAGCCATAACTGAACTGGACAAACCCACAAATCCAGTCCAATACTGAGATGTGCACCCTGGATTCACATCTGCCCCACCGACCCCGAGAATGAGAAACACCATCCCCTCCCTCCTCCAAGCCATATCTCCCACCCATCCAGCCAGAAAGAGGAGGGGAGAGGATGTTACTAATCACAAATCATGCAAATCTCATATAAAGGCTCAGATTTTCCACCATTCCTGGCAAAGCCTGGGGAGCTCTGATAGCACATATATCACTTTTGCAAGGAGATGGTTTGTAGACACCTTCCAACAACATCAGGGTCTGTAACAACTCACAAAAAGGATGTACAGACCTTGCTTGTGAATCCGTATCATGAAAACAGCTTGTTTTCCTTTTGGAGGGGCTAATTCAGCACAAACCCCACACAGCAGAGCAGAGGCAGATGTAGAAATTACTTCCTTCTAAGACAAACTCCAGAGTAAATGATTTCACCTCGACTTTGCTGCCTGTTCTTTGATTCAGTCAGAGTTTATAGCTCCTTTATACTCTCTGGGGTGAAAACAACAGCCTACATAGGAGAACCAAAATTCTGTTTAATTCTGGTGCTTCATCTTTCCAGCTCATCAGGTGAATCCCATCTGCTCCCAGCTGTGCTCCCAGCTCTCGCTTTGCTGATTTGCATCACTGTCACTGTTCTCGCCCTGGTCAGAATAAAACTTCAAAAGAAGACGGGTAAGTTGGCCAAGCAACACCTTTTGGGCTGCAGGGGTTGTTTTGCAAGGCCTTTGGCTTGTGGTTTCCAAGAGTTGGAGTCTGACCCATGGAATGTTTCCACCTCTGGGGACACGTGGCCGTTCTGTGGCCGGTGCAGCCTGAAAGCTCAGCTGGAACTGCAAGCAAGCAAAGTCCTCCAGAAGTTGTTTGGCTTTTGGTTTTTTTTTTTTAACATGTTTAACCAAAAAGCAAATGAAGGAAATGGAAATGCTGAAGCCCTGCTGAAAGCAAGGTCGGGTTTTTGTGTGTAGAAGATTTATGGCACCTCGAGTGCTCGGAAATCCCGAGGTATAAAGAGCAGGGATAAAGACCTGCGTGGCCTGAGCAGCTTCTGGGGCCAAATCCAGCTCATTCAGTGCAAAACTGACAGAGACAGGCCAAAAAATCCCTTCTACTGACTTATTTTTTTAAAAAATACATGCATATATCTTATTCTAGAACATATTATGTCTGTAGAGATAAATTTAGGGGCGGAAAACCTTCAGTGATGACAGCAGGGAGAGGAAATACATTTTTCACAAGAATGAAACTGGGAAATAATGGCCCTAATCTGGTGTCTGGCATGCTGGACATGTTCCCTCCAGTGTTCCCTCCAGTGCATCCATGTGTTTTTGTTTTAAAGGAGGAGAAAGAAGCACCACTGGAAGCCTGGAGGCAGCCACGGCTCAGGCTGGTCCAAGTCCTGCAAAAGAGCAAACAGTGGAGGAAACCTCAAGTCCAGGAAAAGTGCAGGAATGCAAGATGGACTCTGGCAAATGTAGGTGGGTGTTTTCTGGATCTGGCACTGTGTCATCTCCCTGGTTAGAAGAGAATAAAACCAAATTTTAAGCAAAGAACTCGTGGCTTAGTAAGTAAAACACCTCCACGGGAGAGATTTGCAGTCCAGGAATTACAATCCACAGTCCAGGACTTGTGTTCTGCTGCCAAACTACTGCCTTTGCTCCTCACCAAGAAATTTTAAGCCATAGATTTCAAAAGAGCCAGATTAAACCCTATATAAAGTTCATAAATTTATTATAGGGGTTGATTATGATTTTTGCTTACATGTAGTAAACCTGTTATCGCTCTTCCTGCTTGTTTCAGTGAAATCTGATTGCTTATCACCTTTTCCAGTATTCCACAGGAGTTATTATTGTTCACTGTGTTGGAACAATATCATTCTTTTCTGTCTTACTGTGCAGGAAAATCTATGCCATCCTTGGAAGATTCAGGATCACCAACTTATATGTAAGAGTCTCTGTCTTCTGGTAAAATATAAGTACAGTGGGTCTGTCTCAGAATGTTAATACTCTTTAGAGAGGAGCTCATGTAGAAAACACCTGAGAAAGTCTTTTAGAAACCTCTGTTCTGTGGAAATTTGTATCAGTGAAAAGTTCTCCATTAAAAGAAAATATGGAAATAATGGTTCAAAAATTTGTTGGTGGGATTTCACATTCTCATTTCATATTCTCATTCATATTCTCATGCACTGAGAGCCAAAAGGGGTCCTAAGTATAAATAATGGGAAGAAAATAGTACATCTCCCCTAAACCCTTGAAAATAAACAATCAACCTTCTGTGAAAAACCTCTAAAAGTGAGAACAAAAACCAGTATTTGTTAATTGTGCCTTTTGTTCCCAGATATCTGATTTGAGGTAAAGCTTGGGATAATTCTCCTCTTAATCTCAGCAGGAGGTTGACTCCAGAAGTTCCCCTCTGAGCCAGGTTTTTCCACCTTTCTATTCTCAGGACTCCCTAAAATAACAGACCCATTTAAAATACCAAGTTTGGCATAAAAACAGAAACACCCGTGAAATCACCTGCAAAAATATTGCACAGAGAGGCAACAGCAGATCACAGCTTTTCTTGTGTGTTGTTGTTTTACAGATGCTCTACGGGGAAAAAATGCTTTTCAAGGTGACTGATGAAGAATTGAGCCAGAACCTTCTGTGAAAGCCCCCGTGCACACGAGCTGGGAATTTTCCCTATGGAAAACCAAGGCTCTGAACTGCCAGGCACCCAGAACCCCTCTTTGCTCCCTGCCCTGCTCAGAACCCAAATGCCCTGAATCCCAAATGGCACTTGCTACGTGTTTTGCAGAACAGAGAATAAAACAAAGCACCTCTAACCTGGCTCTGACTTGCAGAGGCAGAGAATCCCAAGGGGAAAGGAATGGAAGGGAAGGACCCTCAGGGTTGCTCAGTTTGAGTCAAAAAAATCAGAGAATCACAGACTGGTTTGGGTTGGAAGGGACCTTAAAGCTCATCTCATTCCACCCCCCTGCCATGGGCAGGGACACCTTCCACTAGCCCAGGTTGCTCAAAAAATAAGCATTTTCTGGTTTTGTTTAAAAAAACCCCTGAGCCACCGAGTCATTTTGCAACGCACAAACCACATCTGATTTCGGTTTATCAGACACCCACGTTCCCAAGTGCTGTTTTCCCTTCACCCCCCTCTGCAGAACCATCCACAGGTTCAAAACCCAACCAGTCCAGCCCAGCCCCAGCTACAAACCCCCCTGGTTTGTAGCTCTCAGGCTCTGTGTGTGTCGTGCTGCAAACTGGGTTTTGCCCCCCCCTCCACCCCAATAAAAGCAATCCGAAGGTTGTTTGTTTTCTGGAGATGCCAAAATGCTTTGGAACCTGTGACTTGGCAGGAGAACGTTTCCTCGTGTGTTAAAGCAAGGAAATGTATTTGCATGAGGCAACAGAGCTGTTTTACTGGAAGCCTTAAGGGTGGTTTGGTTATAGGAATTGTTCCTTCAGCTCGGACTAACTTTTCCTCCCTCAAATGCACCAGAAATTTGAGGTGCCCACGGCTGGTTTCTGCCCAAATTTCCTCTGCCCATGGCCATTCCACCTTTCTCCTGGTCTTTAAAACACATCTCCATGCTAACTGCGGGATGGAGACGGGATGGTTTTTCACCATCCCTTTTCACTCCCAAATTCTCCCATTCCACTCCCAAATTCCCTATTTCCACTCCCAGCTCTCACAGTTCCACTCCCGAACTCCCCCTTTCTGCTCCCAAAGTCCCCCTTTCCACTCCCAGACTCTCCCTTTTCACTCCCAAACTCCCACTTTCCGCTCCCAAAGTCCCACTTTCCACTCCCAAACTCCCACTTTCCACTCCCAAAGTCCCTTCCCGGGGGGATCCCAAGGGAGAGATGCCTGGCAGGAACAGGAAAGCAAACACACCTGTGTCCACTGTGGCCAAGCAATCACAGCTCTGTGGCCAAGAAGAAAAAAAGTAATGCCAACATTATTTGGGGAATGTTTGGAACATCCAGGGAAGCAGCTCTGATGGGAAGGACACAGCTTGCAAGGGATCAGTGTTTGTTGCCATCCAGGAGAGGTGGTGGCTGTTCTCTTAATCCAAGATCTCTGCCAGATCACCCTGTGGAAGCACAGCAACAGCCTTCCTCACCTCTGAAGCCCCTTCCTCACCTTTGAAGCCCTTTCCTCACCCTTGAAGCCCCTTCCTCACCTCTGAAGCTGCACGTTCATGGCAAGAAAGGAGCTTGACACCCTGAGCTAAATCAAAGGTACTTCCAAGGCTGGATTTAGGATCTGAGAAATTCCTTAAAGATCCCAACTCCAGGTCAGGA